CGTGGCGCCGGCGTCGCGCCTGCCGTGCTACGTGCTGGCGGTGGAGGAGGGCCGCGCGGGCACGGCGCGCTCCATGTGGCTGGCCGCCACCGCCGACGAGCCCTGGCAGCAGCTGCAGGGCGCCGACGCCAGCAAGCCGCCCGCATGTACGCACCGCGCTAGTGACGTAGTTATTTTGGCCATGTAATACATAAACCACTGAAAATCTTGTAAAGGTGTATCGACTGCGCGTGCGACTGGCTTGTCGACTACCTCTCCGTCTGTCCGTCCGTCTGCCGTCCGTCAGTCTGTCCACGCGTCCATCTATGGACGCGCCTCATGCCTAAACCGTTCAACGATATTTCCAAATTTGTATTTACCTATTGATCTGACTGAATTCGAAGACCTTCGAATAGATATTTGGATTCAATGAAAGCATTTTTCATGAAGCTTCAACTACATTTTCAAAATTTTCACCAAAAACTTCTTTTTTCGCATTTTTTCTCTATAAGAGTGCAGTACGCTTATATAAATGGTGCAGGTCCGATTGTCGTTGAACTCTCTGAACTTTCGGAAAAGCGAAATTACAAGTTTAAAATATTTTCGGCGTCTCATACAATTTTAAAAATTTATATTTTTCTCAATGAAATCTGGTCTTCAAAATTAGATCTTAAAATAACGTCATAAACATTTTATACAAACTCTTAAAACTTATACAAAGATTTTATACAAAATCTTAAAACAAAATATAGAAACGTTTTGAACATTTGTATATATTTCACGTAATTTTAAGTGATGATTAAAATTTAAGTGACGATTTTCACCTACGGTCATAGTTTTATGTTGTTGTTTTTTTCAAACATTGTTAAATTAGTTGGAACGCACAAAATTACACACCACCTCACTGCCTAGAGACTGCAGTCGGACTGCTTGCTGAGTCAATGCACACAGCGTCACGGCTCAAACTACTATGACTGTGATACCTTCGCTTGGCGTAGAGCAATGCGTTCCTGGCCGAGAGGTTACGATTTTCAACGCAGAACATGGAATCACGTGACGTCACACCTGTACACGTTCCCGCGCTCAGAGAGTCGAGAGGGAGGGAATCCCCCTACGTCCTACGCGTTGAGAGGCAAGCGACCATAGGGTCGAATTCTACGCTGAGGGCTGAAGCACCTCTCCTTCACTGTGTGGCTGCCACGACTAAATAACATGTCGCAGGGATAGATAATTTAAAACAGACTTTCATATGCATTCATTTCATATAGAATATCTCGCTTATCAGATAATTGCATTGAGTTTACAGGAATTCCGTTTTATTACGTTTTCCCCCTGTACATCATGTAAAACTGTTCAGGTTCCGCATTGAAGAGGTCCTGTTTTGTGCTATGTAAAATGCGATGTAACTTCACGAGCATGAAAACAAATCCCGTTTAAGGCAGGTTTTCTGCTTGTGCAAGTTCCGGTTTAGACATATTTTACTGTACTTGGATTTTGACACGTGATCATGTTCGATCCCTCTTCATGCCCTAGAAATTTGTAAGGTTTATTCTGAGACACCTTCCTTTATTATGACCATCATGTACATTCCCCATGCCTGATGGCATTCGCATGTCTCTCTCGCACAGCGGGAAGGACGGCTGACGACGCCATGTCCGTGCAGTCGTCCGCCGCCATGCCCGCGCCCGCGCAGGCGTCCGTCGCCAGCTCCGCCCCCAAAACTGCCGGCCGCTCGCGCAAATCGTCCTCGGGGTCGCGCACGCGCGCGCGGAGCGGCCACATGCCGGCTGACAAGGTGCGCAGCGCGCGAACAGGGCACTCAGAGCGGTAGTTTGCCATTTGCATTGATTCGTTCACTCTCTCTCTCTCTTTCTCTCTCTCTTTCTCTCTCTATCTTTCTCTCTCTCTCTCTTTCTCTCTCTCTCTTTCTCTCTCTCTCTCTCTCTCTCCCTCTCCCTCTCTCTTTCTCTTTTTTCTCTTTTTTCTGGGAGAATCATCTGTTGTGTTTATTAGTCACGTAGGGGTAGTGAATGGTGCGAAGGTTGATTGAAAACAAATGCTTCCACCTTTGTAACTCCTCAATAGGTGGCGGCAATGGTATGCGACAAGTACTGGATTGTTCAGTAGTCTCTTCGTTGCAGTTTCCATTGGCGGGAAGCCTTAGAATTGAAGGGTTGTGTTATTAAAGTGTGAAGTATGGAACCCTGTGCATAAGGTCGGTCAATGTGATTTAAGCATCGTACTGCTATTCGTGAGAGCAGGTGTTGTCACCCCAAAAGATATTCATTAGAGAATGCAAGCTGTTTATGGCGATTGTATTGATGTGAGCACTGTGCGTCGTTGGGCGGGTAAGATACGTGAAGAGAGAAGAGTGTCAGCAACCGCCGAATTTCTTAGGTAAAAAGTGGGCTTTGTTAAACGAACGCAATACTCACAGAATCAGTAGTGATGTTTTAGGTCGCGGGGAGTATCTATAAATACAAACCTTAGTCAACCAAAATAAGACGGTAATCAGAAAATTATTACAATACATTCTGTACAATACAATATATTCATCAAAAAAATTTCCAAAAAATGTTTTAAGTATGTGACAAATTTTACGTATTAAAAAATTAGATTGAACTAAATAATTTCATAGATATGTTTGGAAAAGTAAACTTCAGATTAAAAAAGAAATAAAACATCACTAAACAGAAAAACGAGAGTAGGGAACAACAATTATATCCAATTGCCGATGTATGTTTATATTTTTATTTTTATTTTCAAAGCCAATTAGTTGTTCACAATAGTTGTTTTCAAGCATGATAAGGTGAAACTAGTGCGCCTCCGCGAGATGGGATGGCTGCAAAGAGCTCTTCTCTCGCTTTGGTCAGAGAGTTTTCAAAAAAATAAAGTCAATAGATGTATTTTGTAAGAAATTTAATCGAATTTAATTTTGTAAAGAGTAATTGTTTAGCTAAAACGCATAGTTTTGAAGATATAAGCGAAACGCTAAAAATACGACGACATTTTTAGTTTTTTGAGATTTTTTTCTTAGGCCGACCTTTTTTGAGGTGGCAAACATCAAATTTGAATTATGCGCCATCAAAAACATATAGAATCGTTGAGAAAAAAAGATTCCGTATTTTTTCTTTGATTGGATACCTTTAAGCTAAACTATTGGCAATGGTGGATAGGAGATTTGAGAATGGAGTGTCATCCATTAAAGGATGTGGATTAAGGATGAGAGAGAGAGCAAAGGGAAGATTGCGTGCGATCCAAAGTTCTTTTGATAAGTTGCTGATCCGGCATTCGGCTGGAAATGAACAGGAAATTATCATGATCGATCAGCGTGGGACGTCGATTCTAGCAGGGATGACAAGTTTACTTATCAGGCAAATTTCTGACACCTACTCGGCAAAACCCATTATCTTCCAGTCATCTGTCTTCCCTAACAGCGGTACGTAGTGTAACGACCAGAGCACAGGCTTTCCACCTCTGGATTGAAACACAACACGCCGACGATCCCTGTGGAATTGGGTTGCACAGGCCGGTTTCGCGGGAGGTTTTCTTAAGGTTGTCACGTTTCTTCTGCCTCTCTTTTCACTGTTGCTCTATCACCATTAATTTGTGGTAACATTAGCCACCCAATCGTCATGTTATTTATCCATTCTAGATATGACGGAAGACTAAGGTTCGATGAAAGTATCCTAAGCCGTTGTGCAAGGCTAAGTACTAGTGATAATAATAATGCTCCGCTATCGTGGCGTCACTGTTGTAGCGATGGAGTTGCTAAATTAAGTTCTTGAAATACTCGTATTAATGATATTTGCCATGGACTATTGCTCAAAATCAGTAATAATGACTTCTCAAGACGGAAGATGTGTTTTTTTCCAGTCAGATATTTTTTAAATGACGATAAAGTGAACTTTTCTGAAAATGTAAGTTGAAAATATACTATTTGGGAGACATTGTCAAAATGCGTCTACACATTAATTTGAAGAGTAATGGCAAGAGAGAAGGTTTAATTTATAAATACGATATGTTAAGCTATTACGTGCCAAATTTCACTTTTCTTTCATAGATAATCAGTAAAGTATACATTATAAGATTGTTATACAACATCGAACTCTCGAATGTTTATTGAACACTATCTTTGTTACACGTTTTATCACATTTGGGCTTTGTGTTCGTACGATCGTTTCAAAACATGGTATTTCTAAAGCGGTATATTTGAAATAATTTATAGAAGATACTTCTTCGTCAGAGAAGGATAAAAATATAATTTGGTTCGTTTTTTGCCAAAATCATTACTTTTACACTTGAACTGGTGCAAAAAAAGGTTCAATGTCACATTTTGCCGGTGTTGAGTTAACGGTGTTCTTAAAATGAAATGTTATATGCATGGATCTCCGTGTCCGTGAACTCTGTGACGTCTGTAGAGTGTCCTTCAACTGTTAATGTTAAAAGAAAATGATCAATGTCCAGAACTTAAAACCTTTTTGCTTGCTCTTGAAAATTTGAAGTTCCAGGTCATCGAACGATTTTGTTTTTTTTCGATTCGCTAGACGAGCGGGATTTTATCAAAACTCAGCCCGAATTCCTGTCCAATCCTTGAGGAATTTCCCAACGTGTCCTTGAGGCCGCAGAGGAGGCGAGAGGCTAAAATTCTTGAAAGAAATTCAATTAATTTTGGCCTTGAGGTTTCCCCGATCTCTTGATCACGAATGTGATTGATGCTAAACGTTCTTGATAATTTCCTGTCATCAATCATGTCTCGCAAATTTTTAACAGAATTCATCCAAATGCTTGAGAATGAACTGTGCTTGTGGTAAGCTAGTTTTAAAGATTATCATGATCGAAATAAAAAGGACAGAATTACTGACCTGAAAGAAAAAAAAATACGGGAGGATATTCTTCGGCAAATCCCCCTCTAAGTGTGGGCATGGGTTCGGTAGAGAAAATCCCCAAGGAAATACCGGAGGCTTTTTCCTTGAGGATTTCCTGTACGTGTATGACTGCCTTAAGGTGTTGTCCTGCAGGCCAAGACGAAGAAACCCGACGTGGCAGGGGACGCGGTGGTGCGCGACGAGGTAGACAAAGACGCGAAGAGGCATCGGGCGAAGAAGAAGCACAGGTCCCACGAGAAGGAAAGGACGCACGACAAGGCGAAGGAGAAGGGGGCGGCGGAGGAGAAGGGGGAGGCGACGGCGACGGCGAAGGTCGCCGACGGCGACGACGACCCGCGCCCGCGCCCGGGCCACGTGGAGCTCTACGTCAACGAGGAGGTCGACGCCCTCGTGGGTATGCTCTGCTGGCCTCTTTGGGGGCCCTAGCGAATAAGGGCAACGAGCGGATTTTAATTAATGGTGTGGGTGGAGGGCGAACGTTAATTTGGAAATGGTAGTTATGAGATTTCTAAACACTTCGGAATTGTTTTGTTCGGTTGTGTAATTTAAAATTGCGTTTACTATTGCATTATGCTCTTCGATTTTAATTTATTTTATTGTTAGTACTTTTTTATGTGGAATATTATTTAAAGTAAATTGGAGCGTCATTTCACTTTGATTTTATTTGTCTAGCGCAGTGGTAGTTGTTGGAGAGAACATTTGACTCACGTTAAGATCTGAACGCAAGTAATTTGTGTTATATGTTACTGTTATCCTTAAAAGCCGGTCAATTCTTTAGTTTAAAATGTCTAGTGGGTTGACACTTCCAAGATAAGAGAAAAAGCGAAAATTGTGACGTTCGAATTATTTCGGTAACTATTGTACTCCCTGGCAGACTATGTGGTAAATCAAAGCCACGAAACGGCTTTCAGAATTGTTCATCATTGTACATTTCTAATGGGTTGCTCATATCTTTAATATATCTCTTTGAATTTCGCAGGATGTGTTGAGTATAAAACTCAAAATGATCTTGAAAGTCGTTTTTAGAAATTTAACTGGCTTTTTAACTGGCTACTATACAAACACCAGCAAAACAAATTCAATAGTCGGTGAACGCCGCGTAAAAGTATAACTTAAACTGGTTACGACTGACGATGCGAGGGAGCCAAATGGGACACTTTAAGGGAGCAGGCTGCCTCCCTTATAGGAATAAGTGTTCACTTAAGACTTCATTAAGAGCTGTTTATGAATACGATTCGTGTACTTGAGGGAACACTCGGTGTATGTGACGACTGTCCCTTAGGCACGGTGCTGGAGGCGCTGGACGGCACGAACGCGGCCAAGGCGGCGGAGGCGCGCGCGCTGGCGGCGACGCCCGCGCGCCTAGCGGCGCTGCTGGCGGACCCGGCGCTGCTGCCGTTCGTGGACTCGCTGCTGGGCTGCGAGCTGCTGAGCGCGCGGCGCTGCTTCGCGGTGCGGCGCGCGCGCCTGCTGCCGGCCGCGCAGGCCGCGTCCTGCCCGTTCGCGCCCGAGCTGGTGGCCTTCGAGCTGCGCGTGCCGGCCGTCGCCGCGCCCGCAGACGCCCTGCGCCACCTCCTCGCGCAGGTGCGCCGCCGCGGACGCGCACTGCCATTCATGTCCGTGAAGTTGGCATGCCCACTTCATCACAATATTGTAAAACTGTATCCCAGAATTTTGCTCTAATTAAAGACTAATTTACACCCAAATTTAAAAATTTTCTACTAATTCCCAACATCGAAATATTCAACATTAAATGCGGGCACGCTAACTTAACGTTAAGTTAGCATACCCACACAAGAAAAACGCATGAAACATAAAAACTACATGTACCAGATGTATACCCGAATTAAAGTCTAATTTACACCCAAATTCGAAAATTTTGAAAATTGGCGCAACATCAAAATATTCAACACTAAAGGTGGGTTAACGATAAGCTAGCGTACCCACCTTTAGTGTTGAATATTTCGATGTTGTGCATTAGTAGAAAATTTTTCAATTTGGGTGTAAATTAGTCTTTAATTAGAACAAAATTCTGGGATACAGTTTTTCAATATTGTGATGAAGTGGGTATGCTAACTTTACGGACGTCTGCAATTCCTCCCAAGGCCTTAGAACGGGGTGGAAACCGTTGTAGTGGCACGCTCTGCCCCAGCGCCTTCGTACAGGAACTAAAACACGAACGGCTGCCAACGATTCTTTAAACGTGCGGGGCTGCAGCGTCAATTCGCAGGGCGCAAGCACCTCTCTATGTTACAAAAGATAGTCCCGATATTCACGTTTTCTTCAGCAGTTTCATGAGTGTGTATTAAAATTGAACATTTAAAAGACACTTTTCGTATTTCTCACATTAGCCAATTTGTGTGTGGGAAAGTTGGCGAGCCTAAACCGCAGCTGCACCCGGCGACACTAGTGCCTAGTAGTCTTAGTGCCTATAGTTGCACCCTTCTGCTTTGTCCCCGGTTTTGATGGAGAGTTGCAACGCACCAATTCTGCCCGTGACGGGCATCAGTTGTTGGGAGTTTCATCCAATCGAGAGCTTGAGCGCCACCATAGTGACGTCACTACGGTGACGTTCAAGCTCCCGGTTGGATGAAACCGTGAACAGCTGATACCTGACAGAAGCAGACTTGCATAAATTGCAGTGTATTTTTTTTGTCTTTTTTCTTTCTTTCAATATCTTGGAGAAGTCTCAGCGATATAACTTTCATTTACCTTTTTTTAAACTCTGATATTCATTAATTTCAATAAACAACAATGTTCTTAATAATTAACTCTTAATTATAAGAGCTTAGAGATAGTATAAAATGTAAAAACACATCCGGAATTAATAACCTTACCCGTTGATACGCCCGGAAACACGATAAAAAATCAATGAAAGTGCAGTAGTCACCCAAGCACCGTTAAAAGTGCCGCCACCGGGTGTCAGCGAAGGGACAGCTGCACCGCAAGAAGATTCGGGCGCCGCTCACAAGAGGGCGTTAAAAGCGGGCGCACCGGAGCCGTGTCGCTTGGCTAGGCGCAACAGAGCTCGTCGCCGACCGTATGATAGGAGTCTGTGAGCCCTTAGCCCCGAGGGCTATTAGACGGCGCGAGCGGCGGTGAGGCAGCTGACGCAGTGTAGTGAAATTAGAGTGCGAGTACTAGTGACTACGAGATCGGCCTGTGCAACGAACTTTTCACCCAGGATGTTGTTGCTAGTGCATGCTGCTGTGTTTAATTGGACATCTACTCGGTTTATGGTAATTTTGGCTAGTCTTGGTACATATTGAGGATATTTGGAGACAACGTTTGTGAACGGTTATGCTTGTACCATTGGAAATTGTAATACACTTGTTCTACAAAAAAGGACTTGTTTTACAAAAAAGGACTTGTGTTACAAAAAAGGACTTGTTTTACAAAAAAAGGACTTGTTTTACAAAAAAGGACTTGTTTTACAAAAAAAGTACTTGTTTTATCAAATCGTACTTGTGTGCGTGTTGGCAGGTGCGGCGCGCGGTGTCGCGGGAGGGCGACTGGGACATGGCGGTGAGCGGGCCGCCGGGCACGTGGGCGGAGTTCGGGCAGTCGCGCCAGCCTGAGCTGCCTTCGCGAGTCTTCGCGCCCTACAAGGCCCGGCCCGCGCCGCCGCGCCGCCGCGCCTCCCCGCCGCCCGCCGCCAAGGCCCTCAGGCAGGTGGCAAAAGGCTTCTGTGCTGTTCGGGTGACGCCGCGTCGCTGGCTGAGAGGCCAGCAGACGTTTCGCCTGCAACAGGCAGACGAAATGTTGGCCCCTCGGCGGGCGACATAGGCGGACCACAAAGATGTGGACTCGGGCCGCAGAAGCTTACGTTTGCAGGTTTGCAAATTGACGGCGAAAGAATGCGGGGGAATCCGACGTATGGTGTCTTAAATAGCCTATACACAATCATATAACTTCTACCCAAACCCAACAGAAATCTCAGTTGATTTTAATTTTGAACTTGCGAAAAACGTAATCCACACTTGTATAAAAAAATAGATTCCTTTTTGAAGCCATTTTCAAAGTCTTAGCCAATCAAGATCAATAACCTGGGGTTTTCCCCATAGATTATCCTCTTCGATGTTTAGATTAAAGTGTTGCTTATATTTTTAACTATCATATGCCCAAAAGCACGTCTGTAAAGTGAACTGAACGATGTATTTCATCTCAAAACCAACAAATATGTTTTCATACATGTCAAAGGGGGGTCTTATAAAAAATTATTAATCTTCAGCCAGTGAAACATTTAATCCACATCAAGTTTTCTCGTTTAGGATTTTGACACCAACAAATATTTAAACCAATTGTAATGAAGTTAAAAGGAAAATATTATGGTGTCCCCGTGACAGTGATCCTCCACTCAGGAGAAATTGAGATATTAAGGCTCCTAAGCCGAAAGATATGGGCTGAGATGACGTGTTGAAATGTTGAACCTGATGTGAGTCGGCGGCAAGGGTCACGACGACCAGCTCTGTGGCTAAACTGGGAGACGTGGCTCAGGGCTTCAGCTGATATCACTGCAGTGCCTCAAATCGAGATGTTCTAGGTTCGAGCCCGACGATCGCAAGATTTCTTGACATTTGCTAGATATCTACGTCTAGTTCAGTCGCTGTCTGGAGGAGAATTCTATCGGCCCGCTGCTCTGACTGGTAATTTTCCGTAGTTTCTCCGATCATTACCAGGAGAATGCCGGAGTAGTAACCAAACAAGAGCCACGGGCCGCGCGCGATCTTTCCGTTCACACATTTACATTAAACATTCAATACTCTCTCACACATGCGAGAAAACCTGACGGGGGCTTAGAGCTTGTCCCGGCTGGGGCAGTGCCCCGTCGGTGGAAGATGACTCGTTGGGAAAACCCCGCTAGCCGACGGTAGGTCGGCGCCAGACCTCGCCATCTAGTAGGAGATCATAGTCTCCTCCCGAGGAAAAACACGCACTACACTTACGGGACTAAAATATTGCCGGTTGTCGCGCCCTGTAAAAATAATTCTGGGGCTAACCTCCTGGTGAGGAGGCGGTCGAAGTAAGTCAGTGTTCGACCGAAGAACAGTTCCTGCGCGAACGACAGATTCCGACGGATGGTAGCCGTGGGAATTCGTGTTCTCTAGACATTTATTTTCAAATCATTACGTATGAGCGTGATGTCGTGGAATCCATCAGATTAAAACTTTGCGTTGAGAGTGGTGTTTAGTATGCGATATGTTTGATATGGCACGAGAAATATTTTTTACAAGAAATTTCACTCTTATGTAACAAAAATAAAAATTCCGTTTAAAATTTAGTGAGTTTCGAGTTCGGTCATATCGATTAAGGAGTAGCAATTTTAAGGGAGATTATATATACAATTTAGTTACTAGTTTCCTAAACCGAGCGAACGACCGCACGAT